AGCTTTTGGGACCTCCATTTGCTGATGTGGCACGACTCAATTTGAGGAGAAACAGCTGCAAACATCCATTAATAATCAGAACATGGAATGTATCAAGTATGAATCTAGGAAAATTGGAAGTTGTCAAAAATGATATGGAATGCATAAAGATTGATATTTTAGGCATTAGTGAGCTGAAATGGACCAGTTTCAGCTATTTTGAATCAGACAAGCATCTGCTCTACTATGCCAGGAATGACTGTTTGAAGAGGAATGGCGTGGCACTCATCATCACAAAGGATGTTTCAAGATCTGTCCTCAAGTACAATGCTGTCAGTGATAGGATAATGTCTATACACCTACGAAGGAAGACCAGTTAATACTACGATTATTGAAATTTATGAACCAACCAGCAAAGCCAAAGATGAAGAAATTAAAGATTTTTATCAACTTCTGCAATCTGAAATTGCCCAAACATGCAATCAAAATGTATTAATTATCACTGATGACAGGAATGCAAAAGGTGGAAACAAAGAAGAAATTACTGGTAGTTGGAAAATTTGGCTTTGGTGACAGACATAATGCCACAGACCGCATGAAAGAATTTTGCAAGACCAATGACTTATTCATTGCAAATACCTTTTTTCAACAACACAAGTGGTAGCTATACACATGGACATCACCAGATGGAGTACACAGGAATCAGATTGATTACATTTTTGGCAAGAGGTGGTGGAAAAGCTCAATATCTTCAGCCAAAACCAGGCCAGGAGCTGATTGTGGAACACATCATCAGCTGCTCATATGCAAATTCAAATTGAAGTTGAAGACAATTAAAACAAGTCCACGAGGGCCAAAATATTACCTTGAATATATCCCTCCTGAATTTAGAGACCATCTAAAGAATAGATTTGACACATTGAACACCTCTGACTGAAAACCAGAATAATTATGGGATGACATCAAGAACTTCATCCATGAAGAAAGCAACAGGTGATTAAAAAGACAAGAAATGAAGAAAAATCCAAAATAAATGTCAGAAGAGACTCTGAAAATTGCCCTTGAGTAGTGAGTAGCCAAAGGAAATAGAAGAAATGACAAGATAAAAGAGCAGATCAGAAGACTTTAAAGAACAGCTATAATGAAATGTACAAAGACCTGGAGGTAGAAAACCAAAAAGAAGAACATGCTCGGCATTTCTCAAGCTGAAAGAACTGAGGAAAAAATTTAAGCCTTGAGTTGCAATATTGAAAGATTCTATGGGCAAAATATT